CACCACTCCTGGCACAATCCAAAAAATCATAAACAACCTACGCAAAAAGAAAGCCCCTGGTGACGATCTCATCACCAACACTGCTCTTAAATTTCTACCGAATAACATTCTACTTTCCTTAACACAAATTATAAATTGCTCCCTCGGAATTTGCTCCTTTCCACGTGCTTGGAAAAAAGCAGTAATAAATTCCATCCCCAAGCCGGATAAAGATCACAAACTTCCCGAAAATTACCGACCCATCGCTCTACTCTCCTCCATATCAAATATTTACGAACGAATCATCCTCTCTCACCTTCAAACCAATCTTCGAGACAAAATCCGCCCAGAACAATTTGCCTTCAGACCTGAACACTCTCCCACTCTACAACTGACCAAACTTACTCACCAACTTAGTCAGAACTTTAACGACAACGTTAACACCGCCTCCATTTTCCTTGACGTGGAAAAAGCCTTCGACCGGGTCTGGCACGTCGGTCTCCTCTACAAACTATCCCAACTTTTGCTTTGCTTCGAATTGGGAGCCAAGGAAAAACCCCAGCTGTGTTTGTAAGTGTCAGGCGATGCCTATAACTTATGTTTGAATTTTTAATGGCTGATTGTCAGGATGTGGGGTATATTATTGTAATTTCGCAAAGTTGATTGGTCTTGGTCGGCGTGTGAGTATTTGAGGAGCTGGTGATGTTCCAATGTCGCGGATGTGGGCGAATGTTGATTGGGCATTTCTGTGATAAAATACCCTAGCCGCTAGTTCTGCTTCGTTTCGCAAAGAGTTTATGGGTGGATTTAAGGTAGCGTTATTTCTGGTGAAAAAGTGGGCACCTGTGATTGTACGGATCGCCACGTTTTGGACTGCCTCTATGTTTGCCCAGTTTGATGCACTGATGAGAGGACCCCATGCCGAAGAGGCATATAGTAAAATTGGTTTGATATATAATTTATAAATTGAGAGTCTGGCATTGGGATAGGTGATCTGCTGTTAAGTATCGGGTATAGTGCCCCTCTGGCTTGCTTAGCCTTCCTGATGCAGACATTGACGTGATCATTTAGGCGTAGGGCTTTGTCTAGTGTGACGCCGAGATAGGTGGTCTTGTTTTTCCAGTCGATTGTTTGGCCTAGTATTTGGATTTTTCGCGTGGTTTCTTTTCGGCTGGTTCCAAAAAGTATGCATACCGTTTTTTGAGGGTTCAGTTTTAAGCGCCATTTTTTAATCCAGTCGGTTGTCGTGGTGACTTGGCGTTGAAGACGGATTATGGCGAAGTTTTTTGACGTGTTACTAGAGTAAAACATGGTGTCGTCGGCAAACAATGAAGTAGTAACATGAGGTGAGGATGGGAGATCATTGATGTATAGAGTGTATAATAGGGGAGAAAGGCATGACCCCTGTGGAACTCCTGCTTCGATTGTTCTGAGGGTTGATTTGAGGTCGGAGATTTGAATTTGGAAGTTCCGGTTTGATAGGAAGGATTTAATGATTTTTATCAGGGATGTGGGGACGGTTGACATTGTGTGGAGTTTGTGGATTAATCCGTCGTGCCACACTCTGTCGAACGCTTTCTCCATGTCCAAGAAAATGCAATTTTTGCAATTTGCTTTGGTGGGACGGCCTTTGGCCTGTTTAAGAGCACCAGGCTAAGCCTTTTCTCTCTGAATGAGGTAATTTAATTGATAGGTTTTGGTCTGTTCATGGGACTAGACATGATAAGTGTGGATATTTGCTCCTTGAAAGTGTATGAGCAAGGTTTTTTGATAGGTGGAGTGCTTCGTCTTGGAGGGTTTCGATGGACATTGAGTTCCGTAAGTTTAGATTTGAGACCAGGTAGTGGGCGCCGGTCATGGTACGTAGTGCTACGGACTGGAAGATCTCAATCTGTTTCCAAGATGATTGGCGAATTCTGTTTCTCCAAACGGGAGCTGCATATAAAATAATGGGCTTAAGGTATATTTTGTATATTGTCAGTTTGTTAGCCAGTGGAACAGTGCTGTTTCGGTTTAGGATCGGATGTAGTGCAGCCCGGGCACCGCGAACCTTTCGGATGGTATTTTGGATATGCTTGTCAAAGCTTAGATCGTGGTTGAAGGTGACTCCAAGATATTTTGCTTGATTGCTCCATTCGAGATGTTGGTTTTGTAATTTTAACTTCATGGTTTGTTTTTGGGATCGAGGCCCAAATATCACTGCTACCGTTTTGGATACGCTTAATTGGATTCTCCATTTTGTGAGCCAGTCGTTCGTGATGTCCAGTTGTCTTTGAAGCTTGTATACTGCATATTTGTAGTTATGGTTGCTCGTGTAGAGAAGGGTATCGTCCGCAAAGAGGGCCAGTGTGACTGGTCCTATGGTCAGGAAATCGTTTATGTAGACTGAGTATAAGAGCGGTGAAATGGCAGCCATGTGTCTATTATTATTTGTATTTATTACCATGTCGTCGATCAATTTAGTGAGTTGCGTAGTCGTCGAGTGTCCGTGTCGGAAAGCGTGTTGTTCTGATCTTGGCTTAAAATATTTGTTTAGATGGCTTAGTAGAATTTTTTCAAATACTTTTGACATCGTGATGAGAAGTGATATTGGAATGTAGTTGATTGGTAGACTGTGGTTTTTGTTAGGCTTCGGAATCATGACAATGGTGGCAGTTTTCCAGGAGGTCGGAAAATAAGAGTGCCTGAGACAAGCTGTGATTAAGTTGCTTAGTCTTACAATGGCAGGGGCTGGAAGGTGCTTTAGTGCAGCGTTAGTAATGTTTTCATGTCCAGGGGCTTTGGCGGGTAGGTTTTTAATAATTCCAAACACTTCCCCAGGGTAGTAAAAAGGCTTGACTTTGTGGAGTATCCGTTCAGTTCGTTGATCCATCGGCTGACCTCCAATAGCTCGTTCCCAGGGTTGGCGGTAAACTGGTCCCTCATTGTGTCTGAAAACAGCTCCAGTTTGGATTTATTGTCGTAGATTTTTTGACCGGAGTTTGCCGTCAACGGGGCGGAAGCTGGCTTCTTATGAAGCAGACGACGATTTAATTTATAAAGTGATTGATCTTGGAAATTTAGTGTGGTTGTGAAGCGGTCCCATGCTAATTGACGGTGTTCTTTAAGGAGGTTTCGGACATACACTATTTGGGCGTTTAGCATTGTCTTTACTGCTGGATGCCTAGTGCGTTGCCAGTCTTTCCTTAAATTTCGTTTGGTGGCAATCTCAAGTAAGATATCGGGGGAGAGTGGCTCTCTGGTTTGAGGTTTGTTAATGAGGTAGGAGCATTTTTCGATTGTTGACTTTATGAGTGTGGTAAATGAATCAACCTCGTTGTCGATTTCTGTTGGGTTTGATAGTTTGGTCGTCAGTTTTGGAGATTTAAGCGATAGTTCTTGCTCAAATTTTTTCCAGTTGATTCTTTTTCTGGCAGCCGGAGGGTTAATCGTAATAGGAGAGTCGCTTATAGTCATAACAATTGGGTTATGGTCTGACGTTAGCTCATTATGATAAGTAAGGACATACTCTCTGTGATGGAGGTTTACAAGTGCTATGTCCAGGATATCTGGCCTGTGTAGAGAATTGTAGGAGTAGTGTTTGGGGAGTCAGGTGCGCAAATGGAGTATGAGTTGGATGTTTCCATATGTTGGTGGAGAATTCTACCCGCCTGGTTTGTAGTGCGACAGTTCCAAGACTGATGTTTTGCGTTAAGGTCACCAGCCGCTAGAAAAAGGTCATTTTGATTTGTCAGGATGTCTAGGTCGTTAGTTTGCAGGGGAGAATTTGGACACTTATACATAGAAGTTATACGGACTTGGTCGTTCCCAAGTTTGATTTTGACTGTAGTTGACTCGAGGGAAGTCTTGTTGTCCTCTTGGTTGTGAATTATGTTTTTGTGGACAAGTATGGCAGTACCACCCGCTGATGGGGATCTGGGTTTTGGTGGACGGTCTTGACGGTAGGTAAAATAGTTTGGGATCTTGAGTATGGTTGATGGGTTTAATTTAGTTTCTTGGAGAAGAATGATGTGTATGTTGTTGAGACGTGCGAAGGTGTGTAGTTCGTTGTTCTTGTGCTTGATGCCATTACAGTTCCAAAAGAGAATATTAATGCTATTCATTTTGGGCTGAGAATTCTGTGATGATTGATATGATGGTGTTTATGATGGTATCGTTGGTGGAGGCGTCCTTACAATCATGAGCTGAAGCTAATAGTTTATGTATTATAAGCAGTACTTTAGTGGCCGTTATAGAAGGTTCAGGTGCTGCTGGTTTTTGACCACCGGTGACTTCAGCGAATGATGCTTTTGGGTGGATCTGAGGTGATGTGTTGTCATGACGTGCAGATGGTTCAGGCGGAGTTGGGCGATTGGTGGTTCTGAGTTTGTTTTCGCGGCTATGGGGATTGCTGGATTGGGCTTCTTTTTGTTTCATGAGGTTAGTGTAGAAGGGGCATCCGCGATAGTTTGCGGTGTGAGCGCCACTGCAGTAGCAGCATTTAGGCGCGACATCCAGAGGTTTGATGCACAAGTTTGAGGCATGGGTGTCGCCACACTTGACGCATCTTGAAGAGTGGCCGCATTGGAGGGAGGAGTGGCCAAAATTTTGGCATTTGTAGCATTATGCCGGACCAGTTGATCTATACGGTTCGATTTTGATGTTGATAAAGAAGAGTTTAGATATTTGATATATGTCTTTAGCTTGACCGAGGTTTGCAAGGGTAACCATGTGTAGAGGAATTCTGTGGCCGTTTTTTGAGAAAGCTCTGATGAATGTTGGTTCAAATCCATGGGATTTAAGTTCATCGGTTATTTCTTGGTCAGTGATATCAAGAGGAATGCCTTTGATGACTATTTTTAGTGTGCGTTGGCTGGGAAGTGCAAGAGTGTGGAACCCTACTTTTTCTTGAATAGATGCGAGAAATGCCTGTACTGAGCGGAAAGCAGCTTCGTCAGGGCAGTTCAGTTTGATTTCGTTGAGTTTAGATGTGGTACTTGCTTCCACATATTCGTGTCCGGGTGTTTCTTAAAGACTTTTGGCTATGGTGCGCCATGAGTACTCAGGTTTTTTCGTAAGAATATTGGCGGGATTCTTTTTGGTATGGGCTGATGGTCGTTTGTAGAGGACTGGTGACTGCTTTTGTCGTCTTCTGTGGTTGATAAAAAGAATGAATCTTCTGATAAGGTTTCTTCGGCAACAGAAGGCGAAGGTGGAGAATCACGTTGGCTCGTTGGTGCGGTGACCTGGTTAGTTTGAGATATGGATGGTGGTGAGAATGCTTGATTGCGTCCTTTCTTTACGGAGTTGTATGGAGGAGTGGATTTACGTTTGCGTTGACTGCGATTTCCCCGGTTGGTCATGATTTGGGAGTCCTTCGCTTCGGTGCGAGACCCAGCCGTGTCACCCCTTAGGTGACTTGCCTCGTGGTCGAGATGGGGGGAATGATTTGAATTTTCTACTTACGTAAGTGAGTGTTTCGCTGGTGACTGGAGAGAAACCGTCATACGGTAGCTTCGTTTCAGGAGCGTAGTCAGCGAGCTGTGTGTGTGTTTGTGTTTGACGACTGGTTAGGTTAACCAACTCAACATCTCGACTGAAATCATCGAATCCTTTCTCACTGACCGCACTTTTGTCACAAAAATCGAAGACTCCTTCTCGTCCACCAGACGCATACTCGCAGGCGTCCCTCAAGGATCCTGCCTTTCACCTACTCTCTACTTGACTTACATTAACGACATACCAACAACTCCTAAAGCTCACCTCTCACTATTCGCTGACGACACTATGTTCATTACTTTCGACAAAAACCCGAAACGTGCAGCCATACAATTACAACACCAACTCAACCTAGCTTCCACATGGTTGCATCGCTGGAAAATCAAAATAAACCCTACAAAACTGTAGGTATTCTTTTCGGACGTTCCAATACTACTAGTTTTTTGTGGGAGAAGAACACATAAATGTATTTCAAAAGGGTCCTTTTGGTGATAAAATGATACAGGACTTTTCACCAAAAGAACTGAAATTAATTATCCCAAATAAAACGTATGAAAAATGTAAAGCGACACGTCAAGATATCAAAGAAATTATTGATGAAGAATATGATCAAACATATAATTTTGAAACTGTTTCCCTAAGTACAAAAAAAAGTGTCACAATTGACACAACTACCAAGCCCAATAAAAACCAAACCAAGTACAAAATATGAAAAACTTTTAGAAACAGTTATGAAACAAAAAAAAACTATTGGCACAGAAGCGTCTTAAAATATCACATCTGATAAAACAAAATGCAAATTCCAAAAAAAAACAAAAAAAAATTGGATCAAAGTACTTTGATTAATAACTCTGTATTTAACTCTAAAAATTCCAAAGCACTTGTCACTATATGCAGCTTTTGCATAACAAAAAAAAAGCCATGGACACAAGGCGAGAAAAATGTTGCTACATCTATATATTTTAAATCCCCATCAACATATTATGGGTTTATGAAAAGAAATAAGATAGTTTTACCCGGAGTGACTTCTATTCAGCGATGACTTAAATCGTTGATGTATTTACCAGGTTTTGTAACAGAATATAATTCTCAATTGACATAGTCTAAAGTAATGACTGAGCAAGAAAAAAAATGTGTAGTGTTAATTGATGAAATGTCAATAAAAACGTGTCTGGAGTATAATAAATCATTATATTTCATTGAGGGCTATTTCATTGAGGGCTGTACCTACCCACTTAGATGTGTAAAATGCTCAGGTGAACACAAAGCCAGCTTATGCCCTAAAACCGCTGACCAAGAGCCAACATGTTGCAACTGTGGTAGCAATCACACGGCAAACTACCGTGGTTGTCCGTACCTTGCCCAAGCCGCAAGTTCCAAGCTATCCAAAATTCCACAGCCAAACCCGCCATCCCCTGCAGCACAACCAAATCTACCACAAAAAGCAGTTACCACTAAAAAGGATTATGCCTCCGTAACTAAACCCAAGAAGACTTTAAATAGCGAACAGGTAATCGAACTTTTAACTGAACTCCTCTCAGTTCTGTCTACATCGGACGATCCCAAATCCATGTTAATATCTACTATAAAATCCTTTATAACCCTATTTGCAAACCAACAATGATTTCAAATCTAAAAGTTGTACATTGGAACGCAAACGGCATTACAAGAAGAATTAATGAACTTAGTGCATTCATTTCCACTAATAAACCCGATATCATACTTCTAAATGAAACTCATCTCAAACCCAATCTAAGTCTCAAGATCCCTAATTTTATCACATATAGGAACGACCTACCGCCAATCCGTGGTTCTCCAGCCCATGGCGGTACAGCTATCCTAGTTCATCGTAAAATAGTTCATCAACCAACCAATATAAATACTAAACTTCAGTCTACATCTATTTTAATTAAAATTAACAACAAAACCACCCTCATCTCTTCAGTCTACAAACCTCCATCATCAACCTTAATTACATCTGACCTTGACCTTCTCATCAATAGTGCAGATAATTTTATTATTGCTGGTGACCTAAACTCAAAACACCCACTCTGGAACAGCTGCAGAACAAACTCTGCTGGGCTAATACTCTACAACCACCTTCTGAAAAATGACTACTCTATCATCGCTCCTGACACCCCCACACACTTTCCAAGCTGTAAAAAATATAGACCTGACGTATTAGATATTGCTATAATCCGCACTCATCTTCTAGTACACGTCACAAACTTGAACGAGTTATCTTCAGATCACAATCCAATATTACTTGAATTCTCTGACTCACCAATCACAGTCTCCCCTCCTACTCCAAACTCCCTAATCAACTGGGATAAATTTTATCACACACTTAGTGCAGAAAAACCTAGCAAAACTCTTCTTATTAACTCCAAGCAAAACATTGACAACAGTATTCAAGCATTCACCAATTCTATCCATTCAGCTCTTGATAATAGCTCGTATCTTCGTATCAAAAACGGTCGCCGCCCGGTCATCCCCGCAGAAATACAGCAAGAAATAAACGCTAAAAACCGAATCCGCCGAGATTGGCAACAAACCCGAGACCCCCTGATTAAAAGATCTCTAAATGCCAAAATAAACCTCAAACGGTTAATGCTCCAAACCCACAGAGAAGATGAATGGGACAAATACCTAACTTCCCTAAACCAAATATGAAAATTCCATTTATAAATTAAATAGAAGTTTACTAAAAAAAAGACCAGCCACTCACCCACTACTTGGTCCAAATGGTTTATCCTACTCCGCGGAGGAAAAAACAGAGATTATTGCAGACTCCCTGGAACGACAGTTCTCTACTTTTCAAGGACCAAATCTCCCAGAAGTAACTGAGAGCATTACGACAATCAGAGGCTCAGTCTTAGAAAAACCCAATCTCTTCACCACACCAGTAACAATCCAAAAACTTATATCCAAGCTAGCAAAGAATAAAGCCCCTGGCAGAGACCAAATCACAAACACTGCACTTAAATTCCTACCCAAGAACAAATTACTAGATTTAACTAAAATATTAAACGGTTGCTTTAATCTGTGTTACTTTCCAAGCATATGGAAAATGTCGTCCATAATTTCTATTCCAAAACCTGGCAAAAATCTTCAACTACCAGAAAATTATAGGCCTATAGCTCTTCTCTCCTCCCTCTCAAAAATATACGAACGTTTAATCCTTCAACACCTCCAAAAATATCTAGCTGACAAAATAAGAGACGAACAGTTCGCCTTCCGTCAAAATCACTCCACTGTCCTCCAACTGACCAAACTAATAGACCAAATCAGTGTAAATCTGAACCAAGGTATCCAAACAGCTGCCATCTTCCTTGACGTCGAAAAAGCGTTTGATAGTGTCTGGCATGACGGACTTCTCCACAAGATGATGTCCATGAATATCCCTCTACAACTTATAAAAATTACTGATTCTTTCCTCTCGGAACGTACCTTTTCTGTCAAAATTGAAAACCAAAACTCGTCACTAAGAAAGGCTAACGCGGGCGTGCCACAAGGTTCTTGTCTTTCTCCTACGCTCTTTAATATTTATACAAATGACCTACCTACGAATATTAATTCTCGAGTCTCTCTATTTGCGGATGACACAATGTTTTATTGTGCAAACCACAATGCTCGTTTTGCATCTTTACAGCTTCAAAAACAAATAAACTTGGCATCAGACTGGTTCAAAAAATGGCGACTTCGTATAAATGAATCCAAAACCACAGCAATCCTGTTCGGCCGTACAAAGACTACAAATATCAAAAATATCCAAATAACATTCAAATCCCTTGGTCCAGGAGCGTTAAATATCTAGGAGTAACAATTGACCACAAACTAAACTTTTCTACTCACGTATCAAACATTGTCAAAAAAGCTACTCAAATTCGCGGCCTTCTATACTCAGTTTTAACCAAAAAAAGCCCAATCCCCACCAGAACCAAACTAAACCTTTTCAAAATGTACATTATCCCTATCTTAACTTATGCCGGTGAAGCATGGGCACCCTTCATCAGTAAATCTACATGGAGGAAAATTGAAGCAGTACAGACAATTAGTATCAGAGTAATATTAGGTCAACCGTCCATCGTAAAAAACTCTGTACTTCTTCACACAACCGGTCTCATCCCTATCAAGCACTTAACCAAAAAGAATGCCTTAGCAACCTTCCACCGAATCTCAACATCTCAATACAATCATATAAGGAATATTGGTCAGATTTCCCACCCATCCCATGCCTCTAGACACAAACAACGGCCTAGAGTATAACTGTGGGCAGAAAGTTAAATATATAACAAAATTAAAAAGAATCCTCAGTTACAAATTCCACTTCGACATCCAGCTACTAGCAAAGGCAAAAAGCCTGGTATAGTATATAGGCGTAAAGCCGTCCTACCAAGTAAGTAAGTAAGTTGAGGGCTATGAAGATCTGGTGCATTTGGGTCGATCAGAAAAGTCTGCAAAACTTGTTCTTGTTGTAATGATACGTGGACTTTATAACAAATGGAAACCACCTTTTGCTTACTTTATTAGTAGTACTGGAGTCACAGGTGATCAAATGGCCAACATTGCAAGAACTAGCATTATGAAATTGGATTTTCACCAAGTATAATTACGTGTGATCAAGGTACAAGTAACCGCAAAATGTTTTCCTTGCTTGGAGGGACTCCGGAAAATCCATAACAGTAATTACCAGCAAAAAAATTTTTTTAATGTTTGATATTCCTCATTTGATGAAAAGCGTTAGAAATAATCTGCTTACAGGAAATATACTAACAAATGAAGGCGAGAGAAAAATATGTTTCAATGATTTCCGTGAAACATATCAAATTGACATAGCAAAACGACAAGAGCAATGTGTAAA